GAATTCTCGTTCATAGAAGCTACATGTTAAATGTAATTGTTCAGAATATATGCTTATTTATGCTTATGAATTTAAACATTAATTTAATTTTTTCAGTTGACAAAATTATCGAAAATACAATGAATCGTGTTTTTCATTAGTACTGACATACTCTGTTGGTATCTATACATATACATATACTGTTTTAATCACAATACTAAGTGTGCTAATTATATATTATTAACACTTGTTATTTTTGTTTATATTACACTTCGACATTAGCGATCTTTGACCAAAATAACTTTTTTGCTTTATTGTACTATTATTATAGAGTAGTAACACAACATTTTAAGAACCATTTTTATACTTCAAATAATTAAAATTATTTTCCACAATTATATGTTTAAAAATAGGATTTATTAGATCGACAATAATCCTAAAACATATTATCCATGTTCAGAGAATATTTACCAGATAGTTGAGTACTGAAACAATGTCTTATTTTTCGAATGCACACCTGTATATGTATCGTGATTTTACAAAATATAGGCTCCTATACGCAATATTACAAAAATTTCGAAAAAATTAACATCGTGTGGTTTTAAAATAAAATAAAATGTGGGAGGCAACTTTTTTGTTGAGGACAGCGAAGGTCGTGAGTTAAAATTTTGCACGAAGCTAGCGATGGGTCATGTTTTCGAAACTGTCCGGGTTTTGAAAGACAGGAAATTAGTCTCGAATTATCGCACGTGTAGGTATATCGATCATTGTTTTCGTGAAGGCACCATCGGCTTTTTCTAAACCGGTATTTATATTGTATCGTCTTTTGTTTAATATAACCGTTCCTTATTCACATTCTGGTGTGTGCAGAATTATTTATTCCAAACATTTTTAAATGTGTGTAAGTATCTACAAAAATTGCGACGTTACAAATAAAAACCATGTAGAATACTTTACTATAGTATTAGATAAGAAGACTAAATATTATAAATATCGAAGAAATGAAATTTGTTTAGATAAAATAATGTTGCGTCAAAAAAATAGATAATCAATAAATGAAGATGGTCGACTCTAATAATAGCGAGTATCATATAACCGCAATTAAAAATCGTAAGACGTCCATAGTACTACCAGTTGTAATTAGTGAAACTAGTTTCAGGTGCTAAATGTGCTTGTGAGACAGAAGAATAATTTTTACATAACTGAATACTACGTATGTAACTTTTGAAATCAACAAGTTAATATATTTCACTAAAGGAATTTATTCAGCGAAATATAAAAAGAAATTGTAATTAACAATTATTTGTAAAAATATAAGCAGTATATATAATATCAGATAATATGATTTCAAAGAATTCTGTTGTGTAATTGTAATGCTTGATAAATACGAAGCGACATTTAACAATTACATCGCGAGATAATTTGAGAAAGTAGTATTTAAATATTAGCGGTATTTGATAATTGACGAATACCATAAAAAGGCGATACGTTTAACGAATAATAATGTTGGAGTTCCAGAGTCAGGAAGAACTCAAAGTGAATTCAATAAACAATTTATTGTTCAACAATATTCTTAGCTAAACTTATTCTAGTACTCTAGTTTCAAAAGTTGTTCTTGTCACGGTGAAGTTCGGATAAAATCTGATGAGAAACGGTGTTGAGAAGGAAAATGTAGACTATTGGAAGGAAACTATTGGTTGATATTTTGGATATGGGTGTGGGAACAGGAAAAGTCATTGGCTAGGTTATTTGCGAAGGAGGTGGCTTAAAAAAAGGAGTGATTTATTAGGAAATATGGAAGTGCTTTAGCGGGACCTTGGAAAAATCTTGAAGCTGTAGGAAATTCTAAAGAGGCATGTTTTAGTGATATAAGACAGACAGGAAAGCGCAGAAAGTGGACAATAGGGTAAAGGAAATAAAGGAAGAGCCAGATGTAGAAGAGAAAGTCGGACAGTTCGTTAGGATTTCCAACAATAATGACGCTATAGTGAAAGCACTATGCTTAACAAACAATTTACGAAATTCACTATCTAAATCAACTTGGAATAGTTATTTATTAATTTAATTCTCCAATTAATTTAATAATTTAATAACTCCAGTTCTCGCTAGCTATGGGTATAACGTAAAACAAGTACCGAGAATGTAACACTGGAATTAATAATTTGATAACATCCCAGGTTGGGACGCTCTATATCAACATTATGTATGATGCTTCACAAAACAACAGAATTCAGAGATTGTACACTCAAATAAGTTGTACATCTTACAACAGACCCTGAGAGTCTGAAAGTCGATATGTAGCGTTCTGAGCGAATCGAGCCTGAAAATTCTGTTGGCCACTTGTAGTAAGATTGCTCCATGAGCTTTTGTAGTGGATCTAGCCCTGGAGATATGTTGTCTGAATTAAATCACAAACTATTATTTTTCGTAGTGTCTAAGAACTCTTTATGATTAATCAAATAACGTCAATAAAAAATAGGCGATATTTAAAAAAAAGAAAACGTTTAAATATCCAGCTATTGCATTGCTCTAATCGAAATTTAACGGTTATATTATTAAGTTTATTTAAACAAAATACAAGAAATTAGCGTTAAAACGTTTGTTATATCTCATTTATGTTAATTTAATTCGCTAATTGGAAAATTAATTCTGAACTGATCTTTTTCTATAAGTCATGGATAAATAAAACTGTCTCCGTAAGTATTATTACACAATATATTATAATATTAAAAAGTATACATGTTGTATTCATTGCAGTGAATTACTATCCACAAAGACTGTTTTCTTTTTATTTTATAAATATTTCCAAAATGATATATTTATAAATATCCTCCGTTTATGTGAAAGCCACAGAAAGCAAATGCATATAATTCTCATGTAATTAAAAAAAATGAAATAGGGTATCATACATCTGTAGGGATGCGAAAAACATTAGAGACCGTTGCTAAACGGTAATCGTTGGAAGAAGGGCAAAAACCTGTGTATCCGTCAGCTGTTTAGGACGTGTACGTTATACGCGTAATCGCTCTCCTTTATCAACGACTTCGACAATAAACATTGCGAATAGGTGATTGAACGCGATACTGATTGCGAGAGAAAAAAATTGTGCGTGCGAGAGAGAAAATACCATAAAGGGCAATAACCGTGAAATCTATGTGTCCGTGAATGTGTAGAAAATTTTTGTACATAAACCGTGACCTAGCGAAGGAATACCTATTGTAATATTGTAATACCAGCAAACATACAGCGAGATTGTGAAACAGCGAGAATTGTAAAGAAGATCGGCGAATAAATTTATCCCAACCGAAAAATTACGAGGGATAGTTCACTTAACAAACCATATCTCTACGCATCTATCGCGTTCTTCGCTTTACAATTGCACAGGGATACAGAAATTGAATCATGGAACAGAATTATTATTTTAAATGTAAAATTATTATTTTATATTTTATTCTTATTCAATTATTGTAAAAATAGTGTTGAAACAGATAATTGTAACAGTGACAGTGAATAATTTTATGAATTTTTGTTGTCATATAGTTCATCGAAGACATCCTGTATTGATTTTCATTTCCTTGCTCCTTCATGATATAAGAATAGAGCGTGCGACCCACACTTGTCTATAACTGGAAATAAATGTACAATAAAAAAGAAACTGTTCCTGAGAGATCTCTTGTGTCCTAGTATAAGTACGCACGCATATTATTATATTAAACATGTCTTCAGTAACAGTATTACTTTATATAATATTCAGATGTTGCTTACTTGATTAGGAAGGAACTAATACGAAATAATACAATACTAATGTAAGATAAATTATTATTGAATGTATTAGAAATCTGTAGTTTAATTTAACCCTGTAACCTATGATTGTTTCGGAAGTAGTGTCAGTCAGAATTAACTAATTATTACTGCATACGATTTATAATAAATTTGTCACGTTTTAACTGTAATCTGTGTCACGAGTCTGTCTCTGTTATAAGTCAGGGGTTGGCAACCTTTAGAGTCGGAAGAGTCAAAAATTACAATTTACAAAATTTCAAAGTTTTTAAAGAGCCACAAAATTTTTTCTTGCCAACAATAAATAGTACTCGCATAAATAAAGTTTTTTGATAAAAAAAAACTAATCTATTTATTCATAAGAAAAAATATCTATTTATTCATCAATTATTTAAGTAAAAAATTAAAACAATTAAACATTTACTTACAACACTAACAGTTGACGACAGCGATGACGCGTGTCACGGGGGAGGGATGCGGTGGAAAGCGAGTACAAGTGGTTGAGAGATAGAATCGGTGCCTAATCCTCGTTAATCGATTCAGAACGATTTTTAAATGTTTTTTTTTTTTTGATAAAATAAATAATATTTGCGTATGTAACTAAAGAGCCGCAGCTTCACACCCAAAGAGCCGCATGTGGCTCGTCAGCCGTATAAGTCAAGGGGTAAAATGAAATATGCATATCGTCTGAAAATAAATCGTTGTATCATTTTATTTATTTACTCTATACTTTATACGTTTATGTGACATGCGGCACTCAATAGTTCTCATTGTTCTTAATTTATAATGAATTCATTTCAAAACTAAATTTGCAGCAAGAATTGATTTATTCAATTGTTATGTTATAATACAATGCATATATACATATATGTATATATTACACGCATATATTATACGTGCATATTCTACAAAATAGTGAACTCAAAATATTGTTTTTGTTATATTGGTATTATGGATGTGAACTGTATGTAAATATACATTAAAATAAACAACTGCACAATTTGGCTTATATTTGAACGTTACATTTACTAAAACAAATCCCACATTTTTTAAATCTGCGCCGAATAAGATTTGAAATAATTAAGTCTATGGCGTACATAGATATTATTCTTTAAAAAAAGTACAAAAGATATCTATGCGGAATTTTCTTTTCATTTTTCTTTTACACTTTATGACTGGTCGTATGTCAGTATATCCGCCTGTTTGTATATCCATGCATACTGATGTTTAATCCTATAAAAATGGCAGTTATAACAAAGAAGTCTCTCGATACGTTAAATCACGACTATACAGTGTATGTAGGTCCGCTACATACGCCCCACGCGGCACGGTACGTGTTAGTGTTTCCTATCAGTGTACATATACATGTGTGGGCGAACCCTGACTACGTGGACTCCTTGACGACTATGCATGTGCACTTCGCGACGCTCTGTTTATTTGTTTTAAGCAATCTCATGACAACGTACAGTCAGTTGCGTACGTATTCGTTAATTACATATTCTCGCTCGACGCGCGAACAGTATACGCTTCGATTTCGGAATTTTATCCACGATTCACGTGATTAAGGATCCATTTTATAGTGAGATTAAAGGTAAAAATTATTACTTTTCTTTCTATTTATGTATAGTTTTTATGATTTTTATTTTGTTTTTAGACATAAGCATTCCCTTAAAATGAATAATTGTAGCCAAAAAAAAGTAAAAAGACAGACAATTTCATTAGAAACAAAAATTCTAATATTAAATAGATTAGCAGATGGTGAAGGATCTACTGCTGTTGCTAACGAATTTAAATTAGGTGAATCCACGATTAGAGCTATACACAAACGTGCGAGTAAAATATATGAGTCTGTTAATAGTACAACAAACGACAGTAGTAGAAGAGCATCATATTCGAGAAATATTGTAATAGAGAAGACGGAAAAGGCTCTCGTGTTGTGGATTAAAGATTTAACTAAAAAACGAATCCCCGTTCACAAAGATTTAATTCAAGAAAAAGCTAGACAGTGTTTCAACCAGCTGAAGGATTTAGAACCAAATTTGTCATCTTGTTTAGAAAACATGAAATTTTCTGCGAGCAATGGCTGGTTTACTAGATTTTTACGACGATACGCACTTCACAGTATGAAGATACAAGGCGAGGCAGCATCCGCCGATGAAACAGCTGCTATGAATTATCGTCAAGTACTAGCAAAAATCATTGATGATGGTGGATATTGCCCAGATCAAGTATTTAACGCAGATGAGACTGGCTTATTCTGGAAAAAGATGCCCAGCCGAACATTCATTGCGAAATCCGAAAAAACTGCAAGCGGTTTTAAAACAGCAAAGGATCGAATTACACTTCTTCTTTGCAGTAATGCCTCTGGTGCAAAAATGTTAAAACCACTTATTATAAATAAAGCTTTGCACCCACGTGCGCTAAAAGGCATAAATTTAACTGAATATCCAGTACATTTCATGGCCAATAAAAAAGCATGGGTCACATCAGCTGTTTTTGCAACATGGTTTAATGATTGTTTTGTACCAGAAGTTGAAAAATACATGGCAGAGATGGGTCTTCCTTTTAAAGTGTTGCTAATTGTTGATAATGCCCCCGGCCATCCTTGTTTAGAACATCCTAATGTACAAATAGTGTTTTTACCACCAAACACGACTAGCCTTATTCAACCACTGGATCAGGGCATAATCGCAAATTTTAAGAAACACTATGTTAAATTAACTTTTCGATACATTTTGAAAAAACTAGAGGACGAAGAATTAAACCTGACTGAAGTTTGGAAAAAGTTCTCAATTTTAGACTGCATAAATTACACTACTGCAGAAATTAGTCAAATAAAACAGCACACATTAAATTCGTGCTGGAAAGCGATCTGACCTGAATGTGTCATTAATCGAAATGCAACCGAAAACGCGTCCACGTTATTATCAGAAATTACTGAGCTCGCACATTACATCAGCGGAGAAGGTTTTGATACTTTCGGCGAAAACGATCTGGACGAAATGATTGAGGACGAAACTGTCAATGATAGTGACATTATCAATAATTTGATAGATTATGAAGACGGGCAAGAAGAACCGGAATCTATTACAGCAGATAAAATATATGCAGGGATCCAGATTTCTAAAAAATTGGAAACGCATTTTCTTAAAATAGACACTAATGCCGAAAAATTCCAAAAAGAGCTAAGATCATGCATGTCTCGCTATCGTGACGTTTACAAGCAACTGACCAATCGACCGTCGTCACAAAAACTGATCACTGACTTTATGGTGCTAAAAAATAAATCAATTGAAATCGTATCTTCAAGCGACGAAAGCGATTTTGAACCAATTCATCACAAGAAGATGCGCGTTTTGGATTACGACGAGTAGCAGTGAATTATTTAATGTGCATTTTGAAATCTTCTCCATGTATACAATAAACAATTAAATGTTTTTAAAATATTTTCAGGTCTAATTTAATTATTTAATTTGTTTGAAAGCATTTTCTCATCTTTTTCGTAAATAATTGATGTATTTTCTAAGTGCGACTTTTTTTATGCGGTCCCTGTCCGCCGCATAAAAAAATGTTGGTATATCGTACAAAGTTGTTTATTATATGTAAGTATTTATAAAATTTTCGAATATTTTTTTGTACGATTTCTTTTATGCGGTCCCTATCCACCGCACAAAAAGAGGTTTTACTCGTAAACTTTAATTTTGTGTATTCCTTCCAAATTATTAAATTTCTACTATTACTTCAATCCGTTGTCTAATCTTCTTGCTCCCATCCTACATATATGACAAATTAACTTGCTAGACAATAACAATTTTTGCTGAAATAATTTAAGGAAACTTTTAGTTTAACTTTTTTATTAAGAATCCTTTTTATGCATAATTTGCCGAGTTCGATTCGTTTCTTTATCATTCTCATATTATAAAATAAAGTTTTCCTAACTATTTTTCCTGGACTATAATTAAGGTTAATATTCGTTGTAAAGCCACACCTTATGCAATTTTTTTTGCAATTTCGGAGCAAATACCATTTTCTCTAAATTTTAATACTTTTCATTCTCTTAAATTTAACACATGCACTAATTATCATATGCGAACAATGAAAAGTTTATATAATTCAATTCAGCATTGTTATTAGTTCTACTACCTAGTTATTATTACCGAGTGTTGCAGGCAAATTTAAGTTTTCAGTATGCAGTAACTTCGGAAATGCATTTCTAACAAGGAAAGTAAAGTTTTAAAAATAAATATGAAGAGGACGTGAACTCCAAGAAATCTCGTATGGTTCGATGAATACTTTGTAATGAACTATTATGTTCATTCCAAATAAAATAAATTGGATACAATATTCCGAATGTTAAAGGAAAGTCTATAAAGCTTATCCAAATGCTTAATCTATATTATTCTTGTAGTTTCATGTACGTGTATTGACCATATCCAGATAAAAATCTAAAAATCTAAGACTGAACTTCTACTTTTATTTTCTACTTTTGTTATTATATTTTTGTGTGCTATGGGTTGTCCGGAAAGTTCGTGCCGATTTTCGGTAGGCGGCATGAAATTTTATTTAGAATAATTTTTCACCAAAAAGCCTGAGCCGTTCTGGAAGTACTTCTCAAGTTGCATAAAAGATGGAGAAAGGTTATAGAACAGAATGGCACCTATATAATTTAATAAATGTGTACCAAATTTAAATGAGCTGCGTTTCAATTCCCCTCAAAATCGGCACGAACTTTCCGGACAACCCATAGCACACATATTTAATCCAATTATTTCTCTTATGTGTGTTTGGAGACATGGATTCGATTGGGTAAGATTTATCATTTTACTGTTGTCTTCTGTTATACCACCATTCCTGTTCCCCGAATTAAATATTTTATGTTAAGACTTGTCATATATTTAACTGCGAATATTTAGTTTATCCTTAGTTTGTAAATTCATAGTATTTAGCTTTTCGTTGATTTATAGCCGATCCCTTGAAATTTTGTAAAACTTTTCGTGGCAGCAGTAAACTCATGAAGCCATAAAGACTCGCGATTCTTACCGTATCTTTTTTCGTTTTTTGTTCGCATATGGTCGCCAGGTACCATCATTTCCAACTTTCTAGTCCGTTATTTTTCGCATGTTTTACCACGGTCAGCGCGTTGCTTGACTTTATTTCATGCCACGGTCAAGGGTCGAAATTCGTCACACTTGGCGACTGGGAAAAACCTAAGAAGGGCGGAAACTTTACTTCCCTTCCCTAGATTTCACATTTTTTTTTTCACACCTACAAGGCTCGAACACCTTCACGGTAAACACGAGCAATTCACAATCTGTAATTTGGAATCTCTAATCTGTAATCTGTAATTTGCAACTACTAATCTGTAATCTATAATCTGTTATCTGTAATCTGTAATCTGTAATCTGTAATCTGCAACCAGTAATCTGTAATTTGTAATTTGCAACCTGTAATCTGTAATCTGTAATCTGTACTCTGTAATCGAAAATCCATAATCTGTAATCTGTCATCAGCAATCTTTAACTGGTATATCTGTGAATATGTAAATCTGTAAATTAAAAAATGTTTAAACATGTAAATTTGTATATTTATAAATTTGTGAATTTGTAAACTTGTAAATTTGTACACTCGTAAATATGTAAAACTGTGAACTTGTAAGAACTTGTAAATTTTCAAATTTCTAGTCAACAGCACTTCCCATGTTTGGAAACTGGCATTACTTCTACACTTAACAAATGGAGAAAAATTTTACAATTCATTTTAGCATGGAAAATTTGCAATTTTCACTGAATCTAAAACATACATACTATTACAGTTTTTTTTTAAGACGTCCTTGTAAATACATATTAATATGTTAATATATATTTATATTGACATCGATGCTATGAGTATTTTCACGTCAATGTAAAATTTATTAATAACAATTCCCGCTAGGCTAGCGGAAGAATCGATGCGCGCCAGGTTATTTTCATTGCTCTTTTCAATTAGGGTAAATTAAGATCTTAGACGTAGTAATTTTCATGCTTGTTTGGTATTAATTTTAATTTTTGTACATATGAAAATATTGTTTTAAATTTATACTTGATTTAATTTCTGTTCGGGATATTCAAAATTCTATCGTCTGCGTCGTAACGTCTCGAATGTTCTAGATCCCCATCTGTATATAAATAGGTCAAGACCCATTAGTTTTCGTCAGTATAAATCGATGTATCATAGCGAACAAGTAAATATTGTGTGTGAACTTTCTGTTAAAACCGTTATATGTTAAAGACCGTTGTGTATTATATTTCAAATAAACCATATATATATTACTCTGCAAAATCCCATCAGGTTATGGGCCCAGAGAACGCAAATTAAATTCGTAAAACGAAATCGCGAAAAGTGGTAGTGCGCGAGAATAAGCGGGAAAACGGCTTATTGTACTCGTAACACGAAATGGCGTCCACAATTAAAATTGACCCGCTCACAGAAGAAAATTATGATGAATGGAAAATTCACATGATGGCCATTCTGAGGAAGAATGATCTGTGGGGCTATGTGACCGGAGAAATTCCGAGACCCGTAGCTGCGGAAAAATTGGCCGAGTGGATCGTCAACGATGGGAAAGCACAATCGGACCTCGTTCTACACATGAAAGGCAAAGAGCTTAAATTGTATGCGCGTTTGGGGTCAGCTAAAGAGATATGGGACAAACTTCAAGAAACCTTCGAGTCAAAAGGAGCAATGAGACGGTCAGCGTTAATGAAAAAATGCGTAACCATGAAATTGCACGAAGGTGACGATTTGAGGAAACATGTAACCGAATTTTGCGACACAGCAGCTAAATTAAGCGATATTGGAATAAATGTTCCTGATGAGATGTTGGTAACACTATTGATGCACAGTTTACCTGAATCTTTTGCAATGTTTAAGGAATCTATAGAATCGCAAGAGAAATTACCAACATTAGACGCGCTGAAAATCAGGCTATTTGAACGTCTTCAAGGGCAAAAGCAGGACGGTGAAAATTCCCAAAACGCGTTATATTCGAGAAGATCGAATACGGGTCACCGAGGATCAACCCATCAACATCAACAAAACAATAACAAATTTAGGAGACCTGACCACACCCAAACGACAAGACGAAGAGTCAAGTGTCAAAGGTGCGAGAAGGAAGGACATATAGCTAAGGACTGCAGAGCCAAATATCCAGCACACTCAAAATCAAGCCATCAGTACTCGGAGTATAGCGAAATTTCAAGCTCAAGTGGTAAATCAGGAAAACAAAATACAATGCTAGGTACATCCGAAGAGGGTATGTACGCTATGCCGAGCAGCGAGTGGTGTATTGATAGTGGAAGCACCAGCCACATGTGCAATCAAAGGGACAGTTTCGAGAAATTTACACACACAAACTCTGAATTAACGTTGGCAAATCATGAGAGTGAAATCAATTTTGAAAATGTGTTGTATGTGTCAGACTTGCGAACAAATTTATTATCAGTGTCTAAAGCCACGGATCACGGTTTTGAAGTTACCTTCCGCAAAAATTACGCGATTGTGACTAAAAACAATGAAGTGTTTTTACGTGCTGATCGCCGCGGGGACTTATACTTCGTAAAAAAAGGTGAAAATTGTGCGAGAAAAGCGATATCGAGCGAGAAAGACATTGACATTTGGCATGAGAAGTTGGGTCATCTCAATGAACGTGATATCAAACTCATGGCTAAAAATAAATCCATACACGGTCTTATAATCGACGACAATGAAAAATTGTCGGAGTGTGAAATATGCATTCGCGAAAAGCAGACGCGGTTACCGTTTAACAAAACTGAAAATCACTGCACGCGAGATCTGTTAGAAATAGTGCACAGTGATGTTTGTGGACCTATGAGACACGCATCGGTGTCTGGAAAGCGATACTTTGTCACATTTATCGATGACAAATCGCGCTGGTGTGAAATTTATTTTGTGAAATGTAAAAGCGAAGTGTTAAATGTGTTCAAACAGTATAAAAGTGAAGTTGAAAACTATACTGGACATAGAATAAAGTCGTTGCAAACTGATAACGGCACAGAGTATTGTAATCGTGAGTTTGATCGATTTTTACAAGAACAAGGCATTAAAAGACGTCTGAGTACACCACATATGCCACAGCAAAATGGCATTGCCGAAAGAAAAAACGGGACGCTCGTGGAAATGGCGCGCTGCATGATGAGGCAGGCGGGAACACCTCCACATTTTTGGGCTGAAGCAATATACAACGCCAACTACACGCGTAATAGATGTCCAACGAGTGCGTTAAATGGCGGTATACCTTACACTGCGTGGACGGGGAAGACCCCCACCTTAGGTTACCTGCAAATCTTTGGTACAAAAGTGTTTGTACTAAACAAAG